TTTTTATTCTACTGATCAAAATAAAAGAATTTTTTTTTATTTTTTTTATGAAAAATAAAAACAAAATTAAATCTACACATACTTATATTCAATTCAAAACTTTTTTTTTATGTCTTTGAAAAACAAATAAGCAAATGATACGGAGAACTTAAATCCACAACCTACATCTGATACATTACAAATTAATTACCTAAGTTAGAAAATAAATATGTTGATAAAATATTTAGATAATATATTAACTTGTTTATTATTTATATTTATATAAATAATGAAATCAACCCTAGTTTTTTTTTTGTTACTAAAGACATACATATTTATTTAAAAAGAAGAACACATAAAGAGAGAGAGAGAGAGGCATAAAGCTCATCAATCGAATAAGCAATATGAGAGCTAAGCTCATATGATTGAAAAGAAATCCAATCTATTTTTTCAAATAAAATATCCAATATTTATTTTAATAAAATAAAATAATTTTTTTTAATATATTTATATTTTTTGTTTCTTCCATGTAAAAAAAATATTATTTTTTTTGTGGATTATAAAAAAATAATAACATGAAGTATTGTTAAAATCTAACCCAGCCTGACATACCAATTCAATGAATTGTTAAACTAGATTTAACTGGGATAAAGTTTTAAGTCTTATTAAGTTAGGAATTGATTTGGTTAAATTTTTAATCTATGATTTGGCTCACCTTTTAAAATTTAAGTGATATCTAATTTAATTTTTTTTATTTTTTTATATAAAGCATTGTTTTAATTTAAGAAAAAAAATCTTAAGAAAAATCAATTTGAATTAAGTAGGATCAATTTAAGTTGATTCAACTTAAATATTGAAAATGGTGAAGAAATAGGTTAAATTTTATAAGTATATTATAAGTTATTTTACACACACCTGCGGACTTTAGAGATACATGCTCACTAATTTTTTGACATTGATTGTTTACAAATTTTTTTTATAATTTAAAGCGAACTCTTATGATCAAACGATTAGCATAAAAAATCATAGCAGTTGGTACGATAAAATAAGTGAAATTGTTATAATTTCTAGCATTATTCAAAAGGTCAATTAGTCTTTATTCACGGTGAAGATAAATTATTAGCCTTATTTCAAATCAAGAAATGATAAAAATGAAAATTTACTCTAGCCAAAGCCTTTTTAAACTCTTTATTTTTTTAATTTGAGTTATAATTTTATTTTTTTAATATAATGATGAGTTTTTATCATACAAGGATTTTTATGATTTTATACTTGGATTTAAAATTTATACTCTATTTTACTAATTTGTCTATTTTACTAATTTTTCATTTAAGTTGGTATTTTAATTTTGTAAAATTGACTTAAATTTTTTTTTAAAAAATCATATCAATCAAGCACTGGGAACTTGCTAGATGTGGAGAAAGTCCTCCACCTGAATCAATTCAACTAGGTTAGAGACGATGATAGGTGATGAGTTTAGAGACGAGTTGAAGAAAAACCTAAATAATAACTTCTAGTTTACTAAAATCCCAAAAAAAATAACTTAAGGGACCAAATTGTATTGTTATCAAAATATCTTTCACTGTGTATGCTGTTATTCAAGTTGATAAGGTCCCTCCTTTCCCTCTCCATAACCAAAACACAGACCCCCAAAAATGGCATACAACCTCTGCTCTTCATCTTCTTCTCTCTACCAACCTCTCTGCAACACTCTCTCATCTTCTTCAAGAGACTCAAAACCAAGAACCTTAAACAACAACTTCTACTATTATTTGAAGCTCAGCACTCCCTCACCTCAATCAAGAACAACCTCTCTTCAAATCACAAATGTCTCATTACAAGACCAAAAAATCCCACAGCAAGAAACCTCAAAAGATTCAGACTTTAATGAAAAAAATGGGTCCTCATCAAAATCCTACATCTGGGTCAACCCCAAAAGCTCTAAAGCTTCAACTCTCAGAAAAAGTTCCTATGATGCTAGGTATGCTTCTCTTATTAAAGCTGCTAAGTCTTTGAATTCATGTAGCCCAAATAAAGATGATGTCTTTAATTTCTTGGGTGAGTTTGGAAACAAATTGTTTGAGCATGATGCTGTTGTTATTCTTAATAACATGTCGAATCCAGACACTGCTTTGTTAGCATTGAAGTTTTTCCAAGAGAGGTTGGAGTTTAATAGAGAGGTTGTTGTTTATAATGTGACTATGAAGGTTTTGAGAAAGTGTAGGGATTTGAATAAGGCAGAGAAGCTGTTTGATGAAATGATTGAGAGGGCTGTTAAGCCTGATAATGTTACGTTTTCGACGATAATTAGTTGCGCTAGGTTGTGTAATTTGGCTGATAAGGCGGTCGAGTGGTTTGAGAAAATGCCAAGTTTTGGACTTGATCCTGATGATATTACTTTTTCGACTATGATTGATTCGTATGGGCGGGTTGGTAATGTTGAGAAGGCATTGAGCTTGTATGACCGTGCTAGAACCGATAAGTGGCGTCTAGATACAACCACATTCTCAACGTTGATTAGGATTTATAAGGATTCTGGGAATTTTGATGGTTGTTTGAACGTTTATGAAGAAATGAAGGCTTTAGGTGTTAAACCAAATTTGGTCATATATAACACCTTGTTGGATGCCATGGGAAGAGCTAGGAGGCCTTGGCAGGCGAAGAAATTTTATCAGGATATAATTGACAGTGGGTTGTCACCTAGTTATGCGACATATGCAGCTCTTTTACGTGCATATGGTAGAGCACGTTATGGAGAAGATACAATTAAGATTTACAAGGAAATGAAGGAAAAGGAGTTGAGTTTGAATGTAGTTCTTTATAATACCATATTGGCTATGTGTGCTGATCTTGGCTTTGTTGATGAAGCTATTGAGATTTTTGAGGACATGAAGAATTCTGGGATCAGTCCTGATAGTTGGACCTTCTCGTCTATGATTACCATGTCCTCATGCTGTGGGAAAGTGTCTGAGGCAGAGAATATGCTGAATGAGATGTTTGAAGCAGGCTTTCAGCCTAATATCTTTGTCTTGACTTCACTTATCCAGTGCTATGGCAAAGCCCAACGCATTGATGATGTTGTGAAGACATTTAACAGACTTTCTGAATTGCTTATAACTCCAGATGATCGGTTCTGTGGCTGTCTTTTGAACGTGATGACTCAAACACCAAATGAAGAACTTGGCAAACTTGTTGAATGTGTTGAGAGGGCTAATCCAAAGCTTGGTCATGTGGTAAAACTTTTGGTAGAGGAGCAAGGCAATGAAGGGAATTTTAAGAAGGAAGCTGCCGATCTGTTTGATAATATTAGCACTGAAGTAAAGAAAGCGTACTGCAATTGCTTAATTGACCTCTGTGTCAAACTCAATATGTTGGAGAGAGCTTGTGAATTGCTAGACCATGGATTAACACTTGGAATTTACACAGATATACAGTCCAAAACGTCAACCCAGTGGTCTTTAAATCTAAAAAGTCTCTCTTCCGGGGCAGCACTGACAGCATTGCATGTTTGGATAAATGACTTGTCTAAGGCATTGGAAGCGGGGGAGCAGCTTCCTCCGTTGCTTGGAATCAATACGGGGCATGGGAAACACAAGTATTCAGAGAAAGGTTTAGCCAATGTGTTCGAGTCACATTTGAAGGAAATAAACGCTCCATTCCACGAGGCTCCTGATAAGGTTGGCTGGTTCTTAACTACAAAGGTTGCAGCTGAGTCATGGTTAGAATCTAGAAAATTAGCTGATGCAGTAGCTGCATAGGTGCCCTGCTAATGTAGATTTTCCGTTCTTAATGCCTATAAATATTCCAGTTCCCTCCGCTGTTGACATTCCCTCTCTTGATAGGGAATTTTTGTATTGTTAAGATAAATCACTATATTCAGCCATTAAAGCGTTATATAGCTGATCAGATTCTTAATTCTAAACCGTGTTGCAGTTTCTTGAATAGTCTGCTTGAATGAGAGAATTACCGAATGAGGGAATATCAAGTACAATGCATTTTCGGGACTGAAATTTAAGGCTATTTAAGATAGGATCAAAATCCATATGCTTGTGATCTAACAGAAAATGGATTGTTTGCTTTCTGTAGCCCCGGCACTGAACCAAATAAATGGTTAAGTGACTGCATTTTCAAATCAGTAGACTTATCTTCAAATACTTTATGCATTAAGCTCAATGAGACGTTTGGCTTTGAGTGTTTGCTTGCAATGCACCAATCGCCATGGCTGCTGAAGTCTGAACATCATAAATGATATGGTCGACCGCTTCAGTATAGTTTAAAATTCTTGACATAAGCATGTAATCCGCACTCTCGTGTCAATGCGATGCCAGGGAAGACTTGTTACCTGTTTTGATTTGATACTGTACAATGGCTACCAGCCAGTCTCTTGAGTTGGCTATAAGCAAAGGGATGCAAAGTCAACTGCCATGACGACTGAAAGGTTCGCACAACTGTTTATAGAAGACTTTTGGCCCTAGGCAAAAGAAAAACAGATTCGTTTTTCTTTAAATAGTTCTTTGGTTGCTCAAGGTCAGACGTCAGCAGATAAAAAAGCACAGATATTAAAGAAGAAAACACATCCATAGCATTAAGCATGAAAAAAAAATTTATTATAACATCTGAAAATTTGTACATCAAATAAAAAATAAGGGCAAACCTCAAAAACTACCCCCCAACCATACTAGTAGTTTCAGTTTTATCCGCAGACAAATTTTTGTATCAGTTTTATCCCAATCTAGAAATCTCAATCAAGCCTTTCCATGCATGGATTCCGTCCATATTATACTTTACTTTTATAAGAAACAACATTTTTCTGTAGGGAGATTAACGTTTTCGGTTAAGGAGCTGTACTGAAAGGACCCAAATGAGAAATCAAAAGGTTGTTTGGGGACAGAATTGATAATAAAATTTGTTTTTGGGAAAATGATACTGACCCAATAGTAGGAGGAATTTTTTAAACTTCCAAAAAATAAAGGAGGAGCTACATAATTGCAAGCCAAAAATATTAATAAAATGATTAATGGTAGAGAAATCAACCTGTATTTTTTTTTTGGATCAAACTGTTTCCTTGTTTACAAATCGTCATCAAGTTTGTACACTTCAAGTTACCATATACACAAACCAAAAGCATATTGAAAATCTTTCAAGTAATCTCAAACAGCAATCCACACAACTTTCAGCTTTGTCCTAGTTGTTACAAGTTCAGAACTTCTGTCCATTGATTCAGAACTTTATTTCAACTAGCTAGAATCAGTAAAACAGTTCGTATTTACATTGAAAAATCATCAGACATGGTGGGAGAGTAAATTGAATTTCCGGTAGGTAGCCTTCAGCTATACCCAATCCAAGCAATCTTCAAGCGACTTGGTATCCCTGTTGCAATCCAAATAGCTGAAGGATTGTCATTGCAATATCGAATACTCTTTCTTCAAAAAGAACAATTACTACTGGTTATACATGAACAATTAAAAAGACAGACTACAGATATATTTTCAACAGGTTTTACTGACCATATCGAATAGGTTATACTCCAAATCCTTTTGGTTTGTTCAGTTTTGCAGATGCAGCTTCTTTTTCTCTAGCTGCTGCTTCTCTCTTCACTTTCTTGGACTCTACTTCAATGGATTTTGTTAGTGCATTAACCTTCTTCATGAGCATCTGAAAATAATTTTAATTGACATGGTCAATACATAATGGAATATGGATTGCTTACTCTTGAAAGATAAATTATGCCAGAGAGAGTGGTTGCAGTTACTTCACCTGAATTTCTTGATCTTTAGCATTCAAACTCCTCTCTTTAGTCTCACAAGATTTTTGTAGATTTATGACCGCCTTTTGAAGCCTATCATATAGAAATCCTGAAACAACATCTTGACTATCAGAATTGGCACTTCCCTTGTTTGGCAAGTCTTCATTTCCACCAACTTTGTTCTTTGTTTCTTCTGAATTTGTCGTACCATCAATCCCGTGTTTATCGATACAGGAATCGTCTTTTGCCTTAACTTCTTCATTTTCCTTTCCGCTGATATCAATAACTTTGTTTCTAGATACCCATATACCTTTTGCCACCATGTTTTCTCCAGAACCATACTTCTTTTTGAAGCTATCAGCTCCATTTAGTTTCCCAGAAGCATTTGCATTTTCAGTTTCTATATCTGGCTGCTGGAGAGGGAAGTTTCTACTGATGTTGGATCCCCTTGGTTGTGATGTAGATCTCCTTCTCATTCCTGCATTGCTTTTTAGAAATCCTAGTATCTTATTGGTGCTTCCTGGTTTGGGGGATCCACAGGATGCATTAGGGTTTGCAGAGAAACTTGATGTGTATTTTAAGCCCTCTTCCAATGTCTTCAGCCTCAGCTTCAATTTTTCCTGAAGTGACAGAAACATTAATTGATAAGCAAGATGCATCATAAAATTTGGGCAAAAAAATGGAAGAGATGTCAATATTTACCTTCAGTTGTGCTTCTGCGTTAGCTGTTCTCTCTGATATAGCTAGCTTCTCTTTTAGTCTTTGCATCTCCGCCTGCATGCCAAGGGATGGAATTAGAAATAATGCAAAAGCAAATGAATTTAGTATATTCGAGATGTCATCTTTCTCTGTCAAAGCCGATGAAAATGAATCGATACGTATTCTTGTCTATCACAGGCGATCACTCGCGAAAACTGAAAAAGAAACCATGTTCCTCGATGAAACACAGCGGAAGTACTTAAGAGGGAGGAGCTGAAAGAAACTGGATTCAAATAATTTGTTGGTAATGAAATACCTGCAGCAGCCTTCTCTCTTCAAGCCATTGCTTGACAGGCATGACCTTGTCATTTTCATCCTTCCACTCGTTAGCCACCACCGTTGCAACTCGGTTTGCTGAAACTCTGGCTCTGGCTAGCTCCCTCTCCAGCATCCTCTTCTCCTCCTGAAAAGTTGAGCAAGTCAAGGTCAGATGCCTAAATTAGGACTATAATCAACGCAGTACAAATCAATAAACTGAAGAATATTACAAAAATGAACTCATGTAAGACTGAAACATAACTGAAACATACTTTTGGTTCAGAAATCTGTCTTCGATAGTCACGAATAGTATTGGCTGCAGCTCCAGCAGCGAGAATAGCTTCCTCAAGCTCACAAATGGTTTGGCTAAGCTTTTCAACCTCTATAACTTTTTGGCGATTTGTCTTCTCTAGAATTCTGTTCTCCTCCTGCGTGCAGTACACTTCCAAATCATCACCAACACAAAATTCTCATAGCATGCTCAAAATATTAACCAAATCTCTTACAGAATGTTACCTGGCAGATTTCAATCTGTCTCTTCAACTCATAGTTTTGGTTCTGAACCTCCTCAACCATTAAAGCCCTTTCTAGAGCACTCTGCAAGATCCTCTCTGCTTCAAGCAGAGCCGCCTCTTTTGACTTGGTGAGACGTTCCATCGCCTTCTTATCCACCTGCAGCGATGCAATCTGAAAAGGCAATTACATAAGAGAACTGTTCTCTGCGTAAGAGAACGGATGACATTCTCTTACTCTCATTAGTTTGCTGAAAGTAATTTCACTTCATTAGCATACCTCATTTTTATACATTTTAATATCAGCCTCAAGTGGAGCAATGACTGACTCAATAGGAGGAGAATCATCATCCTTCTGATTTGCATGGACCCTTCTAAGAATTGCTTCTGCAGCGTAATGTGCTGCTAATGCATCTTTCTTTTCACTTGTAAGCTTCTTGATTTCAAGATTCTGCATTGAATCAGGTTCAGAAAAAATTGGATCATATGAGTCCCAAAGCTCAGGCACCTTTTCATATTGATAGCTCTACGAAATTTCAGTCGGAACCTAACATACCTTGTGTTCTACAAGATTTTCTGTGAAAACAAGTTTCTGATCCAGTTTACCAACTTCATTCCTGAGCTGGAACCATAAAACAGCAGAATTGTCAATTCTAAATTGCATGAATTACAGAAAAATTGTTTTTTTTCCCCCTGATTTTCTCAGTACCTCTTCTATAGCCTTATCCTTCAAAGCTTCAGTTGCCCTCAAAGCCTTAATTTCTCCTTGTGCAAATCCTAGCTCTCTCTCCCTATCTGAAATAATATCGAAAAACAAGCATCATAAGACATTCTAAGCGGAAATATACTGTCCTATTCCAGTTTGTATGCTCCTAGCCTCTTAATTTCTTACACAGGAAAAACAGCAATGGTCTATCCAGACCATGGATTCAGGACCAAAACAAATTGCATTACCTCAATTTCTTCAGTCAATTAGAGGAATCTCTTCCAATGTCAACATTCAAATTTTCACTTCATTATATAACAAAATGTCACGGATCAATACATTGTTACTCAAAGAATTGCTGTCCGTCGACACACAACATCATAAAGCAGAACTCAAGAAGACTCCAGGAATTCACCCAGATTGAACTCAAAATATGCAGAAACAAACATGCACTAACAAGCAAAATGTACCCAGCACTCACTCATTGTGCATGTCAATGCATGTTCACTTGGTGTACTTTAGGGCAAAAGATGGCAAACCTTTGAGAAGGTTCTGCAAACGGTTGTGCTCTAGGACAATAGGGTCAGGGTGAGAAAGGGAGAGCTCCTCTTTTCCTAGAACTTGTTCCTCATTACAATACCCGACCATCTTTTCTCTTTCTTATTACCTCCTTAAAGTTTGAAACAAAATGCAAAAGTTTAACGACAATAAAGCGCACAAGCTCCAATAACAACAAGGTGCGGGGTTTTATTAGACAACATAAGAGGGTTTCGTCAGAGATTAACATAAGATAGAGAAAAATATGTCACTCCAAAAGAGTCCATCCCTTTAAGGAATTGACATCAAAGAGACGACTTGGAGCTTTCCTTTGTGTGAAGCAAAGTATGAAAACCACATTTTCCATCACAAGCCAGCCTAGTCGGCTTTCATTATCTCTTCATTCATATTGTGATGGTAACCATTACTTCCTTTTATTTTCAGAATTCAAATTCTCTTGGACTAGATGATAATCCAAAACAACATTTTTGTTTCTGATTTGAGTATATCTCTTATTTATTATTAAAGGAGTATTATTTTCCCCCCCTTCAAAGTAGATTTGATTAGTGATGTTGAATCCAAATTTTTAGAATTTTCCTTACTGGGATAACAGTTTGGAGTTTATAGTACCACCTAATCTATGAAAAGTATTGTTGTGATCGGTGATATATATATATATATATATATATATATATATATATATATAGAAGA